GTCAATTTCATGGTTTGGTCTGTTATATTTGATGTTACCTTTACAGGTTTGTGCAGAGTAAAGCAGAAGGAGAAGCTAACTGTTAGAAGAGCTAATTGGTTTAAGATTCAAGAGCACATTTACAGAATTATTTTTAGACTATACTCATAAAATGTGAGAGACAGATACAAATTTTGTGGATAAATTTTCAGTGTTTATAGCAACAGCAATCCATTTTCTCTTGCTGACAGCAGATCTCACACCACATAACTATTTGAAAGCCAACCGGTTTTTAATTTACAAAGCTTGGCAACAATATTCTGTAAAAATTAGGAATTATGAATCACATAATACTGTGCAAAAATAAATAACAAGTCCCCAGTGCATGAAAGAAATAATTGGCAGCAATAAAGATACCACCACCAAATCTCAGAAATGTAAGTATTAAAAAAGAGGAACTTCTACACTCTAAAACTTCATTTTAAAAACATCAGAATGTGTCTGTGTGTTTGTGCACAGGAAAAGATTCTGATATTTCAGTACAGTACATGTTTTCTATGCAGCACAACAATATCATCATGGAGACAGTAAGCCACTTATCGATTAATATGATTCCTTTATGAAAAACTTACCCATTTATTCCAACTTTTATTAATTGTAAAATATTGTCTATTTGAGCTCAGCTGCATACTTTCCATTTTGCAACATGATCAAATGAATGATCTGCACTCATAGAATTGACTGTATTCTGTACAAAAGAATATAAACTTGAGAATGTTTTTTCCCCATTAACCAGTTTTATTCCTTCTTTTGTTGAGCCAGAGGTTATGTAAAAAACAATGTTATCTCATGGAAGGCTGATTTGTTCTACACTGCACGCAATTAATGCTGAATATTAAAAGTTTAAAAATTAAAATGATATTTGATCACAGTTTCTGAAAAAGTTATTTAAGCCAATTTTAATCAATTATTCTGTCAGAAACAAATATATAATCCTGTAATGATGTTTCAAATGGCAGACTGACATTCATTTTTTATATTTTATATATAACATGAATTTGATTAGAAAGAATGATTTCTAATTGAAGCTTAGGTCTTCTGTGATTTTTTTCCTCAATGTCAAAGCAATTAAATCAACTAAAGATAATCTTTAAAATTCACCTGTTTCAATTAATTATTTGGTGACAATGGAATACAGTGATTAAAAGAATCAAATGCTGTGTTACAGATATGAACCTTTAGATATAACATGAGAATTCACTGGCTGCTACCCCTTCAAATTTTAGTGTCTTTTCTTTAATGAATCATAACATTCTTAATCTAACTTCATTTCATTAAAACATTTCATCATGGCATTCATTTGATATGTACATGTGAAAAGAAACCTTTATGATAAAAAAACAAATCCTCAGACTATTTCAAAGCAAACTGTTTTACTATGATTTCTTTCCACATACCCCAATAATATTTTAAAAATTTAAAGGCAACTAACATTTTAATCCAATAAAATATCAATGTTCTAATCCTGCATTAACTAAAAGAGAAAAATAACCTAAAAATATAAGTAAATTCAGAATGAAACTATACGTGGTTCTATCTCATTGTATGAAAGGGCATCATTCTATGCATGAATGCACATGTATATTCATATTCATAGACATATGTGTCTGAAATATATTTTAGGGTGAGTGAAGGAAGTTGTTTTTGTTGTATCTTCACCTCCATTTTCCATTAATGTTTCAGTTACTCAAAACATTGAATGTTTTGAGTAACTGAAAGCACCACTTTAGCCATCCAATTAAACTGAAAGATAAATTATGAAGTATCACTAATGACAAATGGAAAATACTGTATATATTTTCCAAAGACATCCCAAAAGTTACCAGATATAGAATAAAAACCATGTATTTTACAAAGAGGACATTAAAGTGAAAAATAGGAAATTCTATTCTGCAGTAGCTGGTAAAAATTACTCTGTTCTGAGTTTCACAAAGGTGTTTTAACTGATGCCATACTCAACAAACAAACCATAAAACATACCGTGGCTTGCTATTATTTTTTCCCACTGATACCATGAAGCTCTTTACAAACAAATCCAGAAATTGTCCACAACATACCTGATCACTTATTTGACATGCAACTAGGTTATGCTGATTGTAGCATCCAGCAAATTTGATATACTTGAGCCAGTTCCCTACATCTGGTTGACTGGCATCTATGCAGAACTTCACATTGCAAAACTCATCCAAGATCTAGAAGGAAGAATAGGAAAGAGTAAATGTTTCTATTGGTGTCAGGCCATACTAATGAAAAGATAAATCACGGTCTTCAAATAAACAAATGGATAATAATGTAAGCAAGTTTTATTCAAAAATGTTACTCCAGTGACACTTTAAAATAACTGTTAGGGATATGCATATTAATAAAGGGGCAATACATTTATTGTAAATATGTCCTAAAAATGCTTTCCCATAATCAAGGTGATGTCTAATAATTTCTAGTGGAGAATATATGCATTTAGCAAAAATCTATTCTCTCATTTTATATCAATGAATATATATTGTTTAAAATTCTATGTCAATGTAATTTTTGTCTGTGATTATACATAAGAATGATTAAAGATAGTATCTATGGTGGGCCTCTTGGGAGTTGTGTATGTATGTGTTATTTTTTCTATGTTTCAGTTTTTATTTTCTTTTGATGTATTGTTAGGTCCCACTTAACATTTTCGTGTTTGATATAAATTCCATACACTAAATGATGTTTAGATTCAGAGTTATTAATCTTGGTTTAATATTATGCTTCCCAAACTCCTCCCCTCTTTAACACTTAAATCATACCCCCTAATCGAAGCAATTCACAGGGCTTGGTTAATAGAGCCCTCTACGCCAAACTAAAGAAAATAAATGAAAAACAATGTAAACACTCATGGAAAACATGGCACAATATTCTACACATAGCAATATACAGTTCTAATTATGAAGAATATAAACAAATCTAATCAGATTGATTGTGGACAAGTTAAAAAGGATGTTCTAGTCTAATATTATGACAAATTGCTAATCGTTATATATGACTTCATACCATCATTTATCTACAGCTTTTATGACTAGCCTATCCGAAGCTTTCAGCAAAATCACAACATATGCATAAAGCTAATATTACATTTCAAAAGTTCTTGTCTTTCTCATATTCTGTACAGAAAATATATTAACCTATTTGTGCTAGAAACCAGAGAGGGAGAGATTGTTCTTGCACTTAAAGAATTTGTATTCACGTCAAGACTCAGAGCACTTTTGGCCTTCAAGTTGAATGGAAAGGAATTCTGGTATTGTATATCATTTAGTTAATGAAAACCTAAGGAAGTTTTCTATCAAAGACTAACAATATAGGCTAGTTCTACCCCACAACAGCTCAGATTCATTAATTAAATGAACCCAGCTGGAAAGCTGCTTTATCTATGCCCTTATGAAGGTGAAAATTGAAGTTGAGGGTACATTTCCCTAGCCCTAAAGCAGTTTAACATAGAGTTCAGGTAATCCTCCAGAAGCAGATTCAGATCATTAACTAACCACAAACTTCAAGGGGACAAACTAGAGGGCACAAGGCGAGACACACTATGAACAGGAGGCAATTAAAAAGCAACCAGTGTGCTACCGAAAAGCAACCTTTAAGAGGACACTTTCTGGGAACGACTGTGTTTGTTGCACAAAAAGTTGCCTTCTTTACTCTCAGCCAATTTTTCATAATAGTCACGCGAGTTTTTATAAGTTCTTCGATCTCGTCAAGTCGCTTCATTTTAAAGATTATTTCACTGTAATAAACTTCAACCTAAATCATTAGATTCGATATTCAAATGAATTGCCCCACACGCCGCACGGCTGACCCCGGCCACTGAGTTCGATTTTGCCACACAGGAAGAAATCATCTCATTTCAGTTGCACGATATTGACCAAGTTTGTTTCGAATTCCACTGCCTTGCAATTGTTTAAAAATAACTCTGCCACAGAAGTTTAGGAAGATATTTCAACAGAGGCTCCGATCCTGCCTCCCACATTCCCCCTGAGTCCGAGGAGAAATTTGGGGTACGAGGGGAAAGCGGGATCAGGCCCTGACTATGGCAAAATAAGAGACGATTGACTGGAACCCAAATCTAACAGAACACTATCCCTTCCCCTCGTCTACCCGTTTTACAGGGCGATCAAAACCATTATATTTTAATTTCAAACTTAAGAAGTAGTGTGAACCAACCATGTTTATAAGCCCCGTGAAAAGGGCAAGTTTTGAGCTGTGTTCTATCACATTGGATTTCGTTAATTATTTCAGCTGCTACCGTCGACAGAAATTCATACAGCAGATCATGCGTAGGACCTATCCCAATTGTATGCCCTTCTTGAAGGGCTGGGAGCATTTCCACTGGAAAATTAAATGTCTGCATCTCGTTGCAACTAGGACTTAACTTCGTTTCACTCGCAAATTATTGGGCATGCTGAACTCGTTCTTAGATGAGCGTCTCCACGAGGTAACGAAGGTTTATCGGGGGGGGAGGAGGTTTCTCTGACAGAGCCAGAGACTTTTAACTAAAAATTGCAGGAGTGTGACTTCCCACCCCCTTAGCTGCTTATGCAGGAGTTTTGCCTTTTCAAAAAAGCCACCATTGCCCTGAGAAGCCTTCATTTGATTACTTTTACACGCCTTGCCTTTTCAAACGCTCTTGGTTTTCCTTTTATTTTATGTGAGGGTCATTGCAAGTGTCTCTGGCAGGGAAGCGTGGGGGTAACAAAGCTACAAAACCACGCACGCCAGGGCTTCCCAGACTTAGCCCCTGGGTGAAGGTGGAACTTTGCCGAAGGCAGATCCAGAAGCAGGTCGGCTGCTTTGCCAGGAATCTAGGGTTTGGCAAGCCAACCCCTTCGCTTTTACTGGATCCCTGGGACAGAAGGAGCGAGCCAGCCAGACACCCCCACCCCTGACACACACATCACCCCCTCGCCCCAGAGAGACACCAGCAAGCCACAGGGAGGGAGAGACGTGGCCGCCCTGAGAGCAACAAGGAAATCACAAGTCTGAGCAGGGGAGCACCCGGAGGCCAGGGAGTAAGTCACTGAGCCAAGACAGAGCGGACAGAAGAGAAAGTGTCCGGGAGCACGCCGAGTTTGTTATGACTAGGATCACTCTCCTCACCCTCTCCTCTTACCTTCTCTCTCACACGGCACTGATTCCTAAAGCCTGCGCGCTTCCGTGCCCAGGGAGGGGGAGGGGGAAAGGTCCTTCAAGCGGCTGGAAGTAAAACAAAACAAAAAGCTCTCGCCGTCTGTCTGCAGAGTGGGTGGGTGGCGGGTGTCCTTGTGCCGGCCGGCTCTGGTCGCTGCTTGCAAGATCCACTTGCCTCCACCATTTGTTGGGACGTTTCTCTCGCCTCGCCTGGAGTTCTCAGGGGCTGTTGCTAGATTATTTGGGGGGAAGGGAGGTGCCGGGGAGGGGAGGAAGTTTGCTTTAAGGATGAGTCTTTGTCATTATTATTGCTGTTCTTACATCTGCAAATTCCGCCCGGCTCCCCATCACCTTCCCTCCTGCTCGCATCGGCTGCTCGGGGTGTGGGTGTGGGTAAAGAAAGTTATCAAGGGTGAAAAAAAATCCCACCAAAAAAAAAAAACTTCTTTCACTTCTCTGCTGGTGATCCCAGGAAAAAAGTGCGAGTATGTTCTGGAGAGGGAGGGGGTAAGGAGGCTGTCCCCCCCCATACACACACACACACACACTCCTCTTCAGAGCCTGTCCGGTGAGAGCTTCTTTCTCAGCCGGAGCGTCTCCCCTCTCCTCCCCTCCCCTCCCTTCCCTTTCTATTTTTTTGCAACCTCACACACTCAACTGCCAAGGGTTTCCATTTCATGAACTGTCCCTTTAAAGAAGATCTGACCGGCCATCCATAAAGAGGCGAGAGCGAGCGAGCGGGAGCTATCTCCCCCTTGGAACCCAGTGGTCGGAAGCCAGACAGAGGCTCCTCTTTCAGTAAATTTTTAAAGTGACAGCAGCCTCCTCCGGCGAGAGAGGTCACCAAAAGGTCGCCAAGACAGAAGTCCTATAGGGGCAGACTGATTACGGATGCACCATCCCCTTTAAACATGTCGAGTCCATCCATGTAATCAGCAGCCAATAGGGAGATCTTGGGTGGGAGGATTTTTCTTTCGCAGAGGAGAACCTCGCCTTGTTCCAATGTGTTCCGAAAGTGCAAGTGTCTCCATGTGAATGTGTTTATTTAAGAAGCGTTTCACAAACTCGGCAGCCTTTGTCTTTTTGATTTTAACTTATAAAAAGCAGCAGCCCCAATCACTAAATGGAATGCAGTTGAGAACTTTGATTACCACGTTAAAAAAAGCTAATCGGTTGCATATATTGCATCTGTGCTATAGACCCCATGGTACGTATATAGGGCGTTTAAATAGTGTGAAGCCCCTCTCGCTCTAAATTCTACTCTTCCTAGCAGAAATTTTTGTCATTTCTATTTTCCATTTTCCTCTCCGGTTCACTAGACAGAGAGGCGCGCATGCACATACACAAGGCGCGGAATTAATCAATACATGATCTGTTTTTAAAAGTTCCTAAAATGTTATTTCTTAACATTAAAGAGCAACATGACCCGCACATATATCACCGAATCTGATCTGAGGAAAATATTACCTTACGTCTATACATCTGTGAATTTACGGTGAGCCAGTATCTTTTTTGATGTATATTTTACATCTATTGGAAAGTACACAGATTTTTTTAAATGAAAAGTAGCTTTCTTAATATTGTTTTGCACCTCACAATAAATATTATAAACAATCCTGTTTTGAGGAAGGGAAACCATTGTTATATTTGGAATCGTTTCCTAAAGAATCTTGATTTATTTATTTATCTAGTAACAAATCTCATGAATGAAACTGGAGGTAGGCTAGACATTTGGGGTGGTGGAGCAGAAGGAATCGATAGAGAATTAATTATCCAAGAGATGATTTCTCCTTGAGTTTACATAAAAGATACAGCCTTCGAAATTGCTGTGACTCCTAATTTTTTAAAAAAATGTAACCATAAATATAATAATAATAATGCAATGCAGCAAATTGACCCACCCTATCCAACAAAGTTGGACATTATCTCCCGAGGTTAACTGTAACATTTTAGGAGGGAGGGGAGAGGATAGAAAAAGGGGGCTGAACTTTATCGTTTATTACGCCATCGTAAGTGCCACCCACTTTTTAAAAAAAGTTCGCCTATATTTCTCAGACTAAAAATCGACTTTTTTTTTACAATGCAGAGGAGAGAAGAAGGCAAGGGCGAGAATCCAAGTGACAAGAGATGATGATTAATTCCTCTCAGCGGCCTGTTATCTGTGACATTGAACTGTTATTTCAGATAATGGCTATTGTTCAAGACGAGAGGAGAGAGAAAACAAATCGCACACAGCAGTGTTAGGTAGGCCTGGAAAAAAATCCTTTGTAAATAACCCCCCCCCCCCCAAATCTGGCCAGAGATTCCCAGAGTCCGGGGCTTGAGAACTGCACAGAGTTCCCGGTTTGCTGGCCCATTGATTTCCTGCCCTCCCTCAACTTGTCCATTGTTGGAGCCTTCTTTTTCTTTTTTTTTAATTTAGCCATAAATTGGACCAGCTCGAGCTATGAGCTGTTCTATTTTCTTCCTGTCAGGATGAGGGATTTGTTTTATGATGCATTGTGTATTAAATACAAGTAATCTGGGAAACTGATTGCTCGAGCCCATAGGCCTGATCAGAGGTTCTGATACGAAACCTTAGCCCCCTCCCTTTAACAAAGCCTCGATGAAAAGGAGGAAACGTTGGTGGATAAACAAAAGGTCTTTTGGTATCAGTAGCAGGTCCTGGCTAAATTGGGATTTCATGGAAAGGGCTTAGATAGACATACACACACGCACAGCTCCCGTGCCCTGTATATGTGGTACTGAGGAGGGGTGATGCGAGTCAGAAGCTTGCAGCCAATGGCCAGTAGATGGCGTAGCCAGCTGAATTACTGCTGGGCGTACAGATTTAAGAACATAGCGGCGGCCGATGTCTCTCGGGTACTGTACTCTCCTTTCAGGAGCATGAGCCAAGGCGGTGGCTGCTGCTAGAAGGTGTGAGCTGAGTGCTGCTCCCAAGCTCAGCTTTACAAGGGGCAGCATCGCTGCAGAGGGCAGAGCCCGTGCTGTTGCCTCCATTCTCCTGGTACTACTTGGTGGTGTTATTCCCCGGGGTTTTAGCTTGTGGTACTACTCCCCCCTGCTAAATAGTAATCGTTACTGTTCTTGATGCTGATGAAGGACCAGCTGTTAGGGTGACTATTTCGGAAAGTCGAGTCCTGAGTTACTAAATCAAACTCTTTGTGATGCACTAATAATTTGCACTGATATGTCTCTGTATATGCAGAGCGGATCCCATTAGAAAAACGCCAGGAGAGCCGGTTAGTACATCAGGGATTATTTACCCTCTATAGCTGCTGTATGTGGCCACACTTAGCTGGATCAGCAGAGTGTTGCAACAGACAGCACCCCACAAACCGCAGTCCCCAGCAATCTTCTCCCTCTCCCCCCCCTCCAGCTGCTCTCCACCTCGTTCCCCCACCCCACCCCAGCTGCTGTCTGCTAGCAATAACAGGGAACATGCCTGTTTGTTTTAGCTCCACACTTGGAAGGGCTATTAAAAATAAAGCCAGGTTTTAAGATGATAGAAAAGCCATTACTTCGTACGTATTAGGGCAGAGCTAAGCATTCATATCCCCATCTCCCCGGGGACTGGAGAACAAAATCCACAAAAATATGTCAACTTTTTTTCGACGTGGAGGTGAAGAGGAGAAAGAGGTTATCACATGCAGATTTTGCCCCTGGCGTAGGAGGGACTTTTCATTTTCTTGGTCAGTGGTTTAAAGAGGCGTTGGAGCAAAAGCAGCCTTGTGGTAACCACAGAAGGGGTGTCTGAGGAATGACTGATACATGTAAAGATCTCCCGCTAGCTGATCACATACGAGGCTGTAACTGTGTTTTCTTCCTGTTTTGAAAGGTGACCAAATACGTCTTTGGCCCTTTCTCTCTTCCTCTTCCAGTTTTGAGGGTCTGTACCCTTGTATCAAAGCCATTTGATCTGTTTCCCTTTCGCAACTGTTTATTTAAAATAAGTCGCCACATTAGAGGAGGCAGTAAGGAGTTAGTACTCCAGTCTGCTAGCTATTCCCACCAGGCTGTAAACTGATGCCTCTTTTAAGCCTTTAACTTCATGGTCCCCCCAGAAGTAAAAGTTCTCCTAATGGAGACCCTATGGGCATGGTACATTCCAACACATCATTAAAGCCCAGCCAAAGCCAGATGAAATAACTGCACTGTCCACTTTTAATAGGCTTCCTGCGGACAAGCGCTCTGCAGAGGACAATACTGGGGGAAGGGGGAGGGGAATCAGACAAGTTGCTGGCAGTTTCTTAAATGTTCAGTAACATGTTAATTGTAATCTGAAGATTATCTGTTAATTTATAGTCACTTCTTAACCACAGTTGTTAAGTGGGGTTTAATGTTCTGTTTCTCAAGGTGACTAAGCACACTGTGGAGCATCGTGACTACTAACACTGGCAGCTTTTAAAATACTGCAACAAGTGTAGTAAAATGAAAACCTCTCTAAACATGCCCTAGTGCTCTGGGATGCAGGGCAACAAGCCACAAGAATAGTGAAATCATCTAGAAACACTGACACCATTCAGAAGTTTGCTAATTCCCTTTGCCTTACGTTATAGATATTGACAGATGCTTTAAAAAATCAATGCTCTTAGTATATACTACGAGCCAGATCTTTACCAGATCTTTCTTGAGTCAAATCAAACACATCCCGGGGTAGATAACGCAAATGATTCTACAGCGCCGGGTTAAACAGACTTTTCCTAGTCCATTTTATCTCTTCCCATGGCTCCGAATCTGTTACTGCCGTCGCTTCTCTGGGTTCTGTTTCTCCCGAGCCAAAAGGCTGTTTTAAAAAGAGAGGGGAGGAGGAAATTAAAGGTAAAAAACATGAAATAAAAATTTTCCCTTGGTTTGGAAATGGGCCCATCTGAAAGCATGTTAATCTCCACCTCAGTAATTTGGTTCTTCTGGAGAAGACAGAAGTCCTGCTGCTGTGCCCTGCACTTCATAAATCACGTCTTTATGTGGACAAGGTCAGGGCACCTAACAGCTCAGACATGGGCCTTTGCAGTGGCTCGGAGGGCCCCGGCATGTTTATTCTCTCGCACAGATCTCCGAGGAGTAGTCCAGCACGCTTCTAATTACTTCTGATTATTTTCATTTGCTGGGGTCAGTCTGGCTTCGCCAGGACTGCTGGAGGGTGGATTTCCGACACATCCCCCCTTGTCTTTGCGGGAGGGCGGTGCGAGCTTTCGGAATTAGCACCCCATTATTGTCCGGGAATCCCATGTGCTAGAGACAAGCAGAGAGGAGGGTTCCCCCGCTGACCGCTTCCCGACTGCTGCGCTTTTTAATTAAACTATAAAACTGTAATCACCGTTTGGGCACGGCTCCGGGCTCCGATTCTTTTTCAGGTAAAGCGATGACGTGGTCTTTTGCGGGAGCTTTCGCTGCAAACAGCGACTGAATCTCGTCTCCTCTCTTGATTGTAATTATTTAGTGAATGTTAACATTTGTTTCGAAGCGGAGACTAATGCGTTGGTGCTCTACCAAATCCCACATTAGCCGCTCCCAGCATTGTCGGCGGAGTTAAACTACAAATTCACACCTTTAATGTGCTCCCCCCCACACACACACATACTTATGACAGATGTTCAGCACAATTCCGAGTCCTAACCTCGACCTGCCGCAGATACATACCGTTACCAATGTTATTTCTTAGAACCAAGAACAATCAATTGCCACATTTACTGCGAAAACACTGCGGGGGGGGGAGGAATCAATTGATTATAAAAATCCACACCGCGATCAGAAAGTCTGCAAATACTTCCTGACGTCAAAATAACTTTTTATGTGAAATATAAGGGTGGGTCTCCTAATTTATCAGTGGAAAGTCTCCCTAAAATGTGTGTACTGTGTACACAGAAGATTGAAAATTATAACTGGTAATTTGGTAATATAGATCAAAGGCATTCGATTATATATGAGAACTATTTTTGTAACTATGGAATTTTAGACTTACAAATATGCACACAAATATGTAAACACACACATATCTATATCAATATATAGAGAGAATGTGTGTATTTATGCCCATCGATCCTATTTATACAATTCCATTAATCATAGTGTGTGTGTTAAAGACATATCCTAAATATATTTATATATGTACCCTCAAATACACACTTTGTGAATGGATTGATCACACACCTACAAAACACATATATTAGCACATATGTAGCCACACAGAGAACATAAAACTGGGAGTAATTTCCTAATATCAATTTTTATATTATCAACAGAGATCGTTTGTATATCTGCATTTTGACATAACTATCTTGTTCACAATAATGAGCCAATTTATTTTTAATATCTCAGCAGTGCTCCCACTGACAGTTTAACAACTGATTGCTCAGCAAAACTGTTCTGCTTTTTCTTTTTTAAAATCCACTCTTCCAAATAACAAACAACTACACTCCCATATCTAAACTTCAGTCTCTTATTCTATAATTTTATTCCTTCTGCTTCTTTTCTTAAAAAAAAAACTCTAAAAAATAATCCCAATCTTTGGAGACTTGGGGCATCCGACCATAATTGGCACTATTCAAAACTCCACCCACAACTATTGGGGCTCCTCCAATCAAATTTTCTCTTGTTTGTGTTTCCAAGGTAACCACAAGACAGACAACCACAGAGAAAAAGTAAACCAAGCAAAACTGAAGTATTTCTGTGTTTCAGTCCTTTATTATTAAACTACACCACAAATTAGATCCCATTTCCATCTTTTTGCAACACTAGTTCAAGTGAGATCAGAATCAGATGCACTGGCATTATCTATATGTATATAAATAAACATATAATATGCAGAAGATGTGAGTGCACCTAACATTATTGGTGTGTCAAGGGGCATAGGTGCAGAAATCTATAGATCCCCCAGCTTCACTTTGCCAGACTGTTCAGCATCTCCTGTCAAACAACAGCCTCTCCATTGGTTTTGTGGGCTGTCAGAATTGATGGATAGAAACCAGTTTTCTGACTAGAATTAGGTTTTGTGATTGATGGGGGTGGGAGATTGTGGCAGGTTTGGTGCCAGAATTTGGCCCAAAAACTTTTGAATCTTGGTCTGAAAGTGAATCAAGAATAGACCATAATGCACAAAGGTATAAGAGCATTATTGTACATCAGACACATGGTTTTTTATTCTAAGGAACAATGCTGGTGGCATTTTTGCCATTTTCACCAAGAGAGAAGGAACAAAAACAAATGCAGTTCTTTTGATACATCCTCAGCTCAAAATGGAAATATTCCCCAGCTTGATTGTTTGCCCAGAGAAGTGTGTGGATCTGTCCTGCCTAAGTGAAAGGGAGGGAGGACAATCATCCATATAACACCATTAATCTTCCTCCCAGAGTGTGCAATTGGGCTGCTCATAGGATCCAGCAGATTCACACATGGTGAAACAGGTTAGGTGTGGAGCTAAGGAATTAATTCCATGAGGACTCTCCAAGTTATAATGCTTTCTGGGTGTAGCATGAATGAGCTCCTCCTCCCTGTAAGAGAATACTGAGCAGTTACTGGTAGGGGTAGCCCTGACCGCACAGGCCAACTAAAGCCATCTTGAAAGGCAATGAGAGGAGAGAAGATGAGGGCCAAGAATCCATAGGGAGGCACAGGGTTTCTGTGCAGATAGCAATGACCTCTGGCAAATAGCTTGGGAATTTCAGGAGGTGAAGGCAGCAGGGCTATGGGATGTAGGAGCATAGCATCTTGCTTATTCCACAGGTGGGCAGTATCACTTCCCTTACAGGCAAAATCAAAGGAAACTGTGAGAAAAGCCTCATGGAATTTTCCTTTCCCAAAACTTCTTACAGGTC